AAAAATAGGTTTGCTTGCGTTAGACGCACTACAATTTACACCTCACTCCAAAGGGACTAGACAGCAGAGCAGCGTGAATGTTGAAGCAATAGATGCCTCTCCCAAGTCTAATTGCACGACAGAACAAGCGTCGATAAACTTATTCGCTACATCAGCTTTTGCCACTTTGTGCGACCGTAAGTGACCAGACTACCAGACTTATTCCAAAATATATCAATCATGTGACCTGTCCCTCCAGCCACTGAGTGAGGCGTTTAAAGCTAATTAGTCAACTTCTTAGTCGCTATCGCAAAAGAACAGTGCCAGATTCAATTAGCAAAGGCATAATACAACGTCAAACCCCTTTTCCAATCTTATCTTGACCGAAATTAGCATGTCTCCCAACCCCATTTCTTGGCGCCTGTTCTACCTCGTAACGCGGTAGCATCAATCGCCACTTCCACTTTCTATACTCACTTACTTGTATTGGGAAAGAACAGTTGAGGAGACCATCAGTGACTGGCGAACATGACAAAAGACAGCCTAAGCTGCATAAGGTGAGTTAATGAGCAATGTTTTAGTCATTCCTACAGCACTCAAATGAGGCCCTACGATGCCAGTGAATGTCACTAAGCCCTGCCACCACCTTCAACATTTCTTCCACCTCAAGTGCCATGCGCTGGCTAAGGACCTATTCAAAGAATGCTGATAACCTCGAAAACTGTTCTCGCCCAAAATAGGTTCAATCAACGCATAAGTCGACAACTCTGCTCGCAACTTGCTTTCTCAAACCTCTACTCCTCTCTCCATTCTGAGTGTTATTCGCCCAGTGACTGTATTTCCCTACAGCTAAGTCTCTCTCTCTCCCTCTCTCCATCTCTCGCCCGCTCTAGCTCCCTCTTCTTCTATCGCTCTCGAATCAGATGCCATTCGACCGAAGGACGACGGCGACTACAACTTGCCCAGGATCGCCTCTTCACACCGGACACGTCATCTGCCCCCTACCCACACAGCAGATGCTCGCCTCCACACATCGCCAGTTGCCTGTACCGACAGTTGACTCTCCACGAGCCAAGAGGTCTCCACTTCCACCGCGTGGCACACAAACGACCCTCTTCCGACCGACTCCTCTGACGACGCGGCTTCAAAGCAGTTCATCCCACTGCGCTCCCACCCCAGCCCCTCTCACGACCAGCTACCCAGTTCCAGCAAGTATTCACCTTTCACTCCTTTTCTGTCGTACAGGTCACCTGTTTCCGGTCTCATTACTCAGTCAGGCCTAGTACTTGAAGCTGAAATTAATGTTTTAATCAAGACTGGGTTGACGCTTTTCGGCTGAAGGTGATAAAGGACTGGCAGTTGCCATCTCCCACAATCACACAGTGGGCGCATCTGTCAATTGCCTTGCCCTCCTTAAAGCTATCCCACACCGACTGGAGTGGACTGCACTTTCGACTCTGCCAAAATTCGTCACACCCAACCCACGGCGGGACTCGAGCCAGGTTGCGGTAGTTCAGCCTATCGTCTCGACACGTTAATCACTACGACCCGCTTCCAAGAGCGCCTATTGCTGACAGGGCAAAAGGCAAGCTCAGGCAAGGCAAAACCATTCGCCTATCACTTCATGTGGTGAAATCGTCGATTAAACAGTCATATTCCCCATACCAATCGGCTGTATTAATTATCTTTTTCGTTGGCATGGAGTCCATCCTCACCTAAGCAGACAGGATGAATACATTTCGTACTCAAAATCGAATGGCAGACTCAAAAACCAGCAATAAGCACTTTGCTCCGTCAACCATCCCACCACACAAAGCGACATGGGAAAGGCCTGGGCTTCGCGGAAACTCGCGTCTACCTCTTGATCCAAAAGAACTCGTGGCATACTGGCCTATTGGCTTCCCTGCCACGAGTCGTGTTCGAGTCCCGCCGGAAGTGCTGATGGTCTCATCAGTTAAGGCGAGCTGGAAACTGCAGTCCACTCCGACCGCGATGAAAATACTTTTCAGGAAGCAAGGCAATGTGAAATGCAATAGCAGCCTGAGGCCTGATCATATGATTGTGGAAAAAGTCAACTGCTAGTCTCATTATCACATGAAACGAATTTGTATGAATACGTCTCATATTTATGCGATCTACCGGTAGTCTCGACAATTACACAAAACAAAAATGGGTGTCTACGCCATCTGGTCGAGCACTTTAAGCGATACACTTCCATCTCACGTTGTTATGTGATGTCTCAGCACTCACGAGCGAAGCGAGCAGTCGCTTCATCACAAATAAGAGGGAATCTGGGGTCTTTTAAGCATTTACAAGTCTGCGATTGTGCAATCAGTGCCACGTCAATATCAACGACATGGTGAATCTGCTACTTGTTTGTGATCTAATAAAATATGTTTAACCGAATATTTTGGTACAGTACTACAGTAGGACGGAGGTTTACTCAGAAAAACTCACGTATATTTCGTCACATTTCCTCCTTTTCCCTTTTATTCTCATTTATATCCACGTACCCTTACTTTATTTAGAAATATGAATGGGTACAGTAATTTCCTGTGGACTAAATAAGTCGAATGCCATGCATGAGGTTTGTAGGAAGGGAAAGGGTGCTATGAATTTGTGCATAATCAATGAATAAAATGATCCTTTGCCGCAGTGTCGGGATAGTTTAAAGTGGAAGAGGATATTTTGGAAGTGAAGCGGATCAGGAAGTAGTCTTTAATATGATGGGTCACCTGATGGCCAAGACTGGCAACGGAGGTTGGGATTCTCGTCTCTCGTCTCTCATCTCTCGTCTCTCATCTCTCGTCTCTCGTCTCTCGTCTCTCCGCAATCCTCGCTCCGCACCCGTCTCTCCTCGCTCGGTTAATATCCGCGAAAACTGGTTGTAGGAAACATTCCAGGTGCCATCACAGCGGGCAAGATAGATCACGCGATATTCGGACGACTGCTTTTTAATCTGGCCGAATTGAAGAGAAAGGTTGCAGATGTTCTTAATGGACCGAAAGCAAGTTTGTGAAAGAGGAGTTCACACAAGAGTTGGAGTAGGAGGGTGGACTCAATTCGATGGATCTTGCCGTTAATCGATCATCCGAGAAGATTTGGACCAGGAAATTGAGACATACGTCCCTGTCCAGAATACTCCTCACTTTCCAATGCCCTCATGACCACATGCAGCCTACGGAGTCTAGCCCTAAAACACACAAAGACATGGGCTGTTATGAGGACATGGCAAGCCAGTGCCAAAAGAGCAAAACAAGTGGGGCAGGTATAAAATGGCAATGCGTCTATCCTTTCTTGAACTGGTCCGGTAGCAACGCTCGTCGCTAACGAGATGGAATATTGAAAACAGCCTAAAAGAGAAGAGAGCACTTTTCGGTTCTACGGCATCCACTGCAAACAGAGAAAGCCTCACGAGACGAGGATCCAAGTCAAAAATCAAGTTTAGGCAATCATGAAAACATGAGGAGTGGAAATGGATTGAAGGCTGATCCAATCAACTGTAATACAACTAAAAGACCGTTCCCAAATATTCGTATGTGTGTAGGGTTTCGAGACTACCAGTAAATCAGTGTAATGAGATGTATTCAACCTATTTCGTGTAAGGTGATGA